TCAAACCCTGCCGTGCGGAACATGCCCTCTGCCGAACTCTGAGACCGCCGTTCAAAAGGTCTCTGTTTTAAATGTGATGAGAAATGGAACCCATCTCACCGATGCCAAAACCGCGTGCTTATCCTCATGGGAGCGGATGAAGAGGAACCCCCACCGGAATCCGAGGATAACTCAATAGATGATGTCTTGGGTGACATATCCCGCCTTCACTCCTTGTCCAGCCAGCTCCAAAGTCGATCCTTGCGTGTTTCCGGCCTTTATAACCAAACAAAATTCACCATCCTCATTGACAGCGGGAGCACTCACAACTTTATCAAGCCTGCGTTAGTGGAACGATTGGGGTTACCTATCAAACCATGCCCTCGTTTCAAGGTCGCAACTGGTTGTGGAACCTTCTTGGTTTGTCAATTTTGCTGCCATAATGTCCCTTTTATCTTATAGGACATTAAATTTGAGGTGGATTTGTTTATCCTGAACATTGAAGGTCTCGATGTTGTGTTGGGCTTTCCTTGGTTGCAATCTTTGGGCAAAGTTGCTCATGATTATTCGACTCTCACTATGGAGTTCATGTGGCAAGGGACCCAAGTTACTTTAGTAGGTGATGCCTCTCTAGCCTCACAATCAGTGTCACTGCATCAGCTTCAAGCATTGGTTCATACCAATAATGTGGCCAGTGTTTTTACCATCACGACGTCCCTTCAAGACGTTGATTCTCTCCCAGAACCATCCAACAATTTTCCATCCAACCTACCCAGCCCAGTTACTGATCTATTACAACGTTTTAAGTCCATTTTTTCTACACCCACAGAATTGCCTCCTCACAGAACGGTTGACCATCACATCCATCTTGTTGAAGGATCCAAGCCAGTCAATGTGAGGCCCTATCGATATCATCAATTTCGAAAATCGAAATGGAGAAGTTGATCCGAGAAATGCTTGATCAAGGCATCATCGTCCCTAGCCACAGTCCATTTTCTTCACCCGTCTTATTGGTAAAGAAGAAAGATGGTACATGGCGATTTTGTGTGGATTATAGATCGTTAAATTCCGTTACGATTAAGGATAAATTTCCAATTTCAACCATTGATGAACTTTTGGATGAGTTGGGTGGCGCAAGAATATTTACAAAATTGGACTTGCGTGCAGGGTACCATCAAATTCGGGTTCATCCGAGTGACACTTATAAAACGGCGTTCCGCACACATGAGGGCCATTTTGAATTTCTTGTAATGCCGTTTTGACTTACTACTGCACCGTCAACATTCCAAGCCGCAATGAACCAATTGTTTTCCCAATACTTATGAAGGTTTGTGATTGTTTTTTTTATGACATACTCGATATATAGTGCCTCTATTGAAGATCACTTGCAACATTTAGTATTGGTTTTCACTTCCTTAAAAACTCATTGTTTTTTTGTGAAACTGTCCAAATGTCTATTCCGTCAAGAGTCCATTGACTACTTAGGCCATATAGTTTCTTCTCGTGGTGTACAGAGCGGATCCGGCCAAGCTTGAAGCCATGGAAAAATGGCCCATACCAATAACGGTCAAACAACTTAGGGGTTCTTAGGCCTTACCTGGATACTATAGAAAATTCATTGCCCATTATGCAAGTATAGCTTCTCCTTTAACTGATCTCCTGAAGCATGATGCATTCTCTTGGAATGAAAATGCTCAACGGGCCTTCCTTGCCCTCAAGCAAGCTATGCTTTCTGCGCCGGTCCTTAGTTTACCTGACTTTTCTAAAGAATTTGTAATAGAGACGGATGCATCCAACGTCGGTATTGGAGCTATTTTAATGCAAGAGGGCCACCCCCTTGCCTTCTTTAGTAAGAAATTGGGCCCGAAGTTACAAGCCGCATCTCGTATACATCAAGGAACTACATGTCATTACGGAATCTGTTCTTAAATGGAGACAATACTTGTTAGGTCATTTTTTTGTCATCCGAACCGATCATAAGAGCATCAAGGAATTACTTCGACAAGTAATACAAACTCCGCAACAGCGAGTCGTATGTGCGCAAACTCTTGGGGTTTCAATTTCGCATTGAGTACAAACACTGGGGCTTCCAATAAAGTGGCTGACGCACTTTCACGTGTGTCGGCTGACTGGTCAGACAGTGACCACACACCCGCACTCAGAGCATTAGTGTCATCACCTACATATACTCCAAAAAGATAATGCTTCAGATTTTTTCTATCAGACTTTTCGTGAACAACACATGCAGGGATTGCTCCGGTACCCTTATACTATCGTGAATGGGGTCCTTTTCCATACCGGTCGTTATGTGATCAACTCAACATCTCCTCTATGTCATACAATCATTAGCGAATTTCACGATACACCAAGTGGTGGTCATGCTGGTGTGAATCGTACCCTAGTTCGTGTTGCTGCCAATTTTTATTGGTCCGGTATGCGTAAAGCAGTGGAAGAGTATGTCAGCTCATGTCTTACTTGCCAACAAATTAAATACTCAACGCAGGTTCCAACGAGACTCCTTCAACCTCTCCCGATTCCAGAGACGGTTTGGGAAGATGTGACAATGAATTTTATTACGGGTCTCCCTCCCTCTCAAGGATCCACGATTATCCTTGTTGTTGTGGATCGATTATCGAAAACAGCTCACTTTGGTGCTCTTCCCACGTCATTTACCGCTTCCAAAGTAGCAGAGTTGTTTGTGTCTTTGGTTGTGCGTCACCATGGGTACCCTCGTTCCATTGTGTCTGATCGTGATCCGGTCTTCATTAGCGCTTTTTGGCACAAGCTGTTTGAACTTAGTGGCACCAAGCTTGCTATGAGCAGTGCTATCACCCTCAAACTGACCGTTAAATCAAGATAGATAACCGTGAGTTGGAACAATATCTTCGTGCATTCAATCAACAGGATTGAGTGGCACCATTCACCAATGAAATCATTATTTTTCAGAGGAATCATTATTTCTCGAATAAAATATGCAAGTTGGTTCCAAACTTCTATAGGTAGCCACTCTGAGATCCTGACACCAATGTGCTAATTTGAAATAGACCTGGAAGACCTTTAAAAGTAATTCAAATTGTGCAAAATTGAGTGGTTGGTTAGATGGTAATTTTGGTGTGGACCAAGAACAAACTTACCAACCTAAAACAAGAGAAGAAATTCTAGAAGATATTTTTGGAAATATTAAACGAACGGTTTTTCGCAATTTCATCCAAATGTGGTACGTATGTCATTTAATGTGTCAGACAGCAAATTAATACTATCAATTAATCTTATTAAGAACTAATTTGTGAATAACAAATATTAAATTAGGTAATAAGTTTACTATTCCATATTTTTGACGACTAAAAAAATTATTATACATTTTCAAAAACCTGAAAAGTATTTAGTTTCTTTATTTTATTATTTTAACTTTTTTATATATTTTCTTAATTTTTTTAATATGGATATAAAATATGATAAATAACTTTAAATCATTAGATATTATTTAGTATTCTTAATTATTATTTATATAAAAGTGAAACGAAGAAGGGGGAAAAAAACAAGAGAATTTTAAATTTTTATTTATATATTGTTAAATAAAATAAAAATGGTTAAAATAAATTGTTTAAAAACATCGTCTCTGCTGATTAATTTACTATGATGAGTGAAAAAATAAATGTTTTTTTCAAACAATATTTCAAAGCAAATGTGTTAAAATTTAAATTCTAAATGATATTGATAAAAGTTGTAATTTATGTAACACAATGATTTCTCCAACTTAATGTAGAATGCCAGAAGTCAAAGTTTAATCTAACTTGAGATTAACTAAACTTGAGCTATAATAATATATTAGAATATAAATATAAATAAAGTGAAACACTTAATAAAATATAAGTCAATTTTGTTTTTTTTTATTTGAAAAAGTAATTATCTATGTACCATCATGTATGCACACAATTAACTTTATGCATAGCCAACTACCCTTAACCAAAAACTTGAATAACTTATATTGTAATGTGGTACAACAAATATGTGTGTAAGAATAGAATTAATTAAACTAAACGGTTAATATTTTTTTATAGAATACACATTTATTTAATTTAACTGCTAAATTTTATGATATTATCTTAATAATTATATGTATCTAATAATGAAAATTTACATAATATTACAGTTACATAAATTTGAAATTATTTAAAATTATATGTATTTTTTTTTATAAAATAAAAGTTTAATCAAATCGACAGTTAAATTTCAAGTTTTTCATTATTTAGATAAAATTAATCAGTTAAAAATATTTTTACCAATTTAATCATCCATTATGCGTATAATTAATTGTTAAAGCATTTCATTGTGAGTTATCCCCATCACACGCCATAAATGGGGAGTATTTATAGATAAAATATATATCATAGATATTGGCAAAAGAACAAGTAGAACAAAAATGAAGAACATTCCAGGTGTTATACTAATTTAAGATAAGGGGATATTGCTTGTTTTTAGATGATTATATCATATCTGTAGGGGTAAATTACATTGTAAATAAATATTTAGAATCATATAATTACACTGTAACAGCACATCAGTCCTTCATTGAGAGACTCAAATCCAAGATCAATTACATGTTCACATCTCTGAAAAATACAGTTATAGTGTTTGTTACAAATTGACAGGTTGGTTCAAACTTTACATGAACCGCATTGACCCTAATCCCCAGTATAGCCCCTGAACCAAAACTCAAATGTTGGATCAGTGTGATCACAACACCCAGGTTACTGACATCTAGCTGTGTAAAACTGCCCTACAGCTAAAATTATAAAAGAAGGATGGATGGCACAGATCTTCACCAAATATTCAAGCTTCACCAGTAATTAATCAAAGCAAAGTTAAAAAAAATGAAAAAAATAAAATAAAAAGTGAGGCAACTGCATCCTACACTGTATGTGTTCCCCAAGAATCCCTACTGGTTTCTTTCTTTGTAGTCCACAAAAGACAACATACTAAAAAGCCAAACTATTTTATCAAAATGTTAAATCTATCCATCACACTATCTCTATCACTCTATTACCTTCAAATTCCTTTTGCTTTGGTTGAGGTGTAAAAAATGCTACGAGAAGAGGATTTTTTCTAAGGATTGAAACAAAGTCATTCTTGTCAATTCTTCCATCATTATCGTTATCAAATAACATAAAAAGCTCATGGACCTACAAATAACCAGTTTAAGTCAGCCAAGCAACAAAGAGTTTACGATATTTATTGACACAACAATCCAGAGAAAACTAAAAATTAATTACCTCAACCTCATTCCAGCTGAAGATTACAGGTTGGATGAAATCTCGTAACTGATTTTAAAGGGAATTGAAAAGAACATATTAAGAGATAATCATCCACTTAGTAGAGGCAGAAAGGAGAGCGAAAGATTATGATACCTCTTGTTCAACAATATAGGGCTTTACTGCACCACCACACCCAGAAAAGGCTTCTTCACAGGCTTGATGGAACCCTGGTTGCGACATGACATGGGCAGATCCATACAAGAACTGGAAGCAACATGCAATTACAAAATAGTGCACAACACATAAGTGCTGTACTCAACCAGGACATTTTGAACCTTTTGTTGCAGTTATTGGTTTTTGCACAAAAAACAAAACAGTACAGATATCATAGTATTAAATGCTACTTCCAATCACCGAAACGGAGTACATTTTCAAACAAACCTGTCTGAATGTAATTGTTCCACACTTCTCCACATCAATGAATGAAAATATCTGCAATAAAATATAAAATATAATATAATCACCATCCAAAACAATGAAAAAGGAAGCAAAGTGAACTCATGCTGCGCTGAAGTTCAGGTTTTGGCAACAGAAGCTAGACAGGTGGCAAAGAGGAAGTTGGAATAAATTTTTCTAAGCCGTAAAAGTGCAGCAAAAAAGGGAAGAAAAACTGAATGCAGAAAAATTTATTTCAAAATTCCAAGTAAACAATCTTGTAGCATTCTGATAATAATGTATCATAAGCCATGTCACGCAAATGGAATTAGAGAATTTAACAAAATATGCAGATGGGAACCATCAAAGCTTGATTTAATCCCACAAAATTAAAGAAATCAAGAGCTTTCTGATGACTAACCTTTGCAGATAGCGGGCAAGCCTTAAGTCTTAAAACCCTCAAGAAGTCATGATATTGGACACGACCACTGTAAGCAACATACAGACTTCATCATACAAGTGGAAAAGTTCATCAAATAAAATCACATATAGATCAAAGTTGCTAGTAAGGGAAACGCAAAAAAAAAAAAAGAAAAAAAAAAAGACTTGAACAAATACATGTATGCAAAAGCCATTATCTTACTCTAATGTTTTGGTCCCAATATGAATGCAATGATATATATAGATTTTTCACTGATAATTGTCAGCAATACTCATGGACAAGAGGATTGATTAGCTTGCAATAGACTGTTTCTAAATCTCTTTGAAGAGCTATTTGGTGTACAAGTACCTTGTATATTATAGTTAAGGATTCCCATTGTATGACATTGACAATTGTTAATCGTCTTACACATTCTTAGGCATGTGCAATGCCCTTGTTTGACTGAAATGGGAAACTTAAACATCTAACCATCACTATTACATGCTCAAGGTAGCTTGAGGTAAATGAAGGGAATTTCAGACGCAAGTAGTAATCTCATAAGACAAAACACACCCATGTATCAAACGAATAGACATCTTGTTCGGACATCCAATTTGAGCAAAAATGTCTCAGCACCAAGTGCCAGAAAAATGCCCAACCAAAGAAATAAATTCATGTTACATAAATGGTAGCATCAAATTTTAAAGCTGTTGTCCTCATCATGTTGTCCATCCCAAGAGAAACAAGAGAATATCTTCTATAAAAAAAATGTAAGAAGTAGTGCATCTGCAACCTGAAAGGTTAGCATTTATTTGAAACCCTTCATTTCCTGTTAGCATACAAGGAGAAGAAATTAGTAAGATAGTTAGAATATTAATGGGTTAGTTAGCTAGTTAGAGGTGTAAGGAAGAAGATAGGAGAGTCAATTCAGATTTGTTGATATTGCAAATTGAAAAGTGGATCTTTGTGAAGGGAGAAATCCTTTGTGGAAGGGCAAACCCTTGGAAGAGAGTCCTGCCCTATTTCTTGTTCTTTTCACCTTTTCAATAAAAATAAATCTTCCCCATTTCAATTCTTGGTTCTTAACACATTGGTCCAACTTGCCATAAGGGAGAATCAATTAGAGATGAAGGAAGCACAAATTTGGGCCAAGTGGAGGCTGCTAGCAATTGAGGAAGATTCAATTGGATGGTTGCTAGGGCTGAAAAAATTCTGAATTACAAGAAATTGATTAATTCCATATGCTGCAATATGCAATCATGAACATGGAGTGCATGGCGATGGTTTGGTGCTATTATTGATGCCAATAGAACCCAAATTTAGTTCAGGAATCATTGTCCACATGTTTACTCAAAAGATTTGAAGTTGGCTATGAGAGCCACATCTTAGAAAGATTGACTGCATTGAAGCAAGAGGAATCTAAGATACTTACATATAATCTTGAAAGAGAAGACCAACGTGACTAAACAAGACAAAATGGAAATGGGTTAAAATGCATTGAAGCAGAGGCTAGTTCTTGGACAAGAAAGGTGGAACTACCCCACCTTGGATGGATGCATAGAATGGGGAACTTACTCAAAGATTAGCAGTTTTGACTGTGATGGTAATCTATTGCAATTCTTAAAATAAAGATGTAGAAGTGAAGAAGGTTTAAAAATCAAGAAGCACACTCTGGTGGAGAAGAAACCAAAAATAATTAAGAAAAATTAGCAAGGTAAACAAATATTATGGAGGAAAAAGTTGTCGCATCAATAAAGAGGGAGAAGCGCAAGGAAAATGTAATGAAGAATTTTCTTGGTAACCCAATAGCAGAGTTGATAAAAAAAGGAAGTCAAAGATGGAGATGCAATCATTGTTGGTCCCAAATTTGATCACGAGAGAGGTTGGAACATCAATGGCATTGGACCGTAGCATTAAACTTTGTTGCGTCCATAGAAGATTGCTTAGCAATTGAGCCATAACAATTCAGAGGCTTTGCAAGTAGTGGCCAGTGGGTTCCCATTCCTAGAGCAGGAAAACATCATAATGCTTTCAAGAAGGGTAGGATGAAGATCATGATGAAGAAGATGAGACATGGGATCAAGCTTCCACTATCGGCAAGGTTGACTTTTAAGAAGAGGTATTGTTGAATATAAAGAGAAGGAGAAATTTAGTTAAGATAGTTATAAAATTAATAGGTTAGTAGTTAGTTACTTAGAGGTATAGTTAGATAAATAGGAAAGGAAGGATAGAAGAAATTTAGATTTGTTGATTTTATAAATTGAGCACTTGCTCATTGGAAAAAGAGAAATCCTTTGTGAAAGGAAACCCGTTGAGGAGAAAGTGTTCACCCATTTCTTGTTCTTATCATCCTATTCAATAAAAAATTATTTTCTTTCTTGTTTCAATTCTTGGATCCTAACAGAGATCTGGCATGGAATTTCGTGAAGTTAGCAACCATAAGTATTTCAACAATCATTTCCCACAAAGGTGATTTCACTGTGACCAATACAGTAAAGTAACAACATCAACTATAGTAAAAACTCAACATTGATTATAATCAATATTACCAAATTTTACAATCATTTGCCTACCACCAAATATAAGCATCAATTAACTAATGTTGCCCACTGTACTTGAGCAAGACTGGTTTTTCAAGTTAATTAAAACTTACAAGAATGTGATATTAGTACCTGGGATCAGGATTCATGGCCAAGAATTTATCCAGAAAGCCCACAACTTCCATGCTGCTGACATGAAATAACTGAAAAGAAGTACAAAATCTCTATTATTCTTCAGTAATACCATATAAGAAAATCAGTAAGCGAGACAGGATGTGTCATACTAACACCATCATTAATATAACACAATACAAAATATTTTTTCTCCTCTTCATTACATTTTTCACCTGGATTATTAGGCTCAAACATTATGCAGCCAATCTGGGCCACTTATCAGTTGTCTATGGCATCCATTGGCATAGACAAAGAGTTACCATGGCATTTGCATATATTAAAAGAGAAACAGATTCAAAAAGTGAAACCCAAAAGCCTACATAAAAGTCTTAAACAAGCTGAATAAAAATATTATCTACCAGGGACTTGATAATAACAGGAAAAAAACACATAAAGGGTATATGTAAAAATTAGTACATCAATTCAAGCTTGTTTAATTTAAGAAACTTACTGCTTCCAACTTTGTCATTTCAACCATATAACTTGAGGGGTTCTCCTGAAAAATTCAACCAAGTTAAAATGTCAGCAACAACAAAACTGGAATGCTAAGCATGACTTTAAATTTCAGAACAATGATGAAGTAGAAAGGAAATGTTACATATAATCCAGATACCTAAGATAGTTATATGTTGCATTAAAACTCCAGCTTTTATTCCATAGGGTGACTAAATAAAGGAATATACTGATTTAATCCACAAAAGACTCAAAGCATGCACCTAAACATATGCAAGACGAGTGGATTGATGCATGGAATGAGAAAATTGTTGTGGAACTGAGACAGTAAAAGAACGATAAGTTAACTGGTGAGAACTTTGGCATTATTCAATGACACTTTGATAATTAGAGCATTTCCAATAAAATTTGTTTGTTAAAATGCTTAAATAAAGCGTTAGTTGCTCAAAACAACTTTTCATTAGAAAAATCTTATGTAATATGGTAAGTTGCTTAAAAAAATTTTGTTAATTAAGCAACTTACAAAAACAAATAAAAAAGAGTAAATGAGGAGAGGGAATGAATTCTTTAAAATTTAAGAAAAATTCTATTGGAACAAAATCAATTGTGAGTTGCTTAAGTATGATGTCATATTCTTGGGAACAGAAGAGGGTCGTTATCCCCCAAAGTTTTATAACTCCCATATAATTCATGATTTTGGCCTCCCAAACTTAATAATCATTTAATATCTTTACTTATATATTTACAATTTTATCCTCTCATTCTCTTCAGCTTTGTAACTCCCATATAATTTATGATTTTGGCCGCCCAAACTTAATAATCATTTAATATTTACTTATATATTTACAATTTTATCTTCTCACCCTTTCATCTTCTTTCACCCTTTTATATTTATTTTTTATTTATTAATAATATATTATTTAACCCCCAACATCAATGGTCAATGTCGGTATGATGTGACATACTAAATCTATATTTTACATTTTTCAAGATAAGAAGCAACCTCTATGAATTGCTCCTATTGAAAATGCCCTAATATAAACAAGAAAATGGTGAGGAAAAAGGAGGACTTTAATGGAAGGATGTGGCTAAAATATGCATGTTCAAACCGTTGGGTATTGTCTTGATTTGTAGTGACAAAGAATTAAAGAGTGATAAGGATTGATGCAGCAGATAAAACTGAGCAGCTTGTTCTCTAAGTGAAAATAATATGGTCAGCCCACAACAATTCCCCATATAAATCATTAAACTTCAATTTTATAGTAGAAATTCAAGTTGTTGCCTTCCAATGACATGGCAATTGTCTCCATAATCATGAAAGATTTTCTAAGATTAAGACAACAAAAATATTTTTGGTACACAAGAGATGTTCAGTTTAACTGATTGCAATTCAACAGCAAGAGAGAGGAGTCCTTCAACCATACCGCAGCACATGGAAATCATCCATCCTCAAGCAGAAGAAAACAATAAGTAAAAAAAATACAACCCTAGATTTATTTACTTAATTGTCTCTTCTACAAAAGTTCCATTTGTGGCTTGGTTTTCTTCCATTTTTGTTGGTTTTTAATGTACATAATAGACATGTGTGTAAGTGATTAGAGACTTACTCTAAGGATTTTGACAAGAGCAGAAAAGGTAAAATATCCATGTTTTCACTTTAGTAGAGATTACATGCAGTAAACAACAGTAACTGAAATATCAAAATGAGTTTACATATATGAAACTCCATGGATATTCAAATCACAGTTGATGTTAGTTATACATAATAATCTATAAATGAATACCATCCTGATATTTGATTTGGAAGTTTGAATTTGACCATTATATATATGATAGAAAGCAAACAAATTTAAAAATGGAAAAAAACAATAAAGTAACTATGATTAAGATATAATTGAAACCAATAAAAAAATACCTGTTTTGCTTCTTGTGCTTTCATATGAAGCATTATGTCTCCATAAGAATGTCCTGTCTGGACAGCATTCATTGCAGTTGCAAGGGCACGGCTAGTCTGCATTTATCCACATATTAATTGTAACTAACTATTGATACAAGGAAGGATTAAAATCAACAAATCATTCAATGTATTTCAATGAAACAGAAGACAGCAATAGAAGAGATAAAAAAAGGGGTAAAAGGATGCAATATTTACAAAATACTATGTGCTTTGATCAAATTTCCTTAGATAGGTGCTACTCCAACATTCTCTTGCCTATATTTCCATTCATCCACTTCAACAGTATCATCTCAGTTTAATGGGTTGTTGCCATGCCATTGACAAACATTCACTAATATGGAGCATTGCTAGTCTAAATAATTATCCAGTAGAATTTTCTGGAATTTAAAAGGCACTTTGTAATACTAGTGAGTAATGATGTTTAAACCAATCCACCGTTCCATCCACCTGAATCCTATGTTCAAGTGCAACATCCCCATCAATCTAGCCATCACTTTGTAGAGATCCAGACTCAGCAATTTTTGCTCTATAAAGCAATTTATAATTCTCGCCTCCAAAATGATGATATTTGCTATATTACTGAAATTTCATATTGTGGGTCAGATTAATGCCTTCTTGCAATTAATGGAGAAAAATGTAAAGATGAATTTTATACAATTTTTAACATCAAGTTCATCCCCGAATCTTTACTCCTTCGTAAGAAAACCAGAACACCAAATTGACCCCTAGAGGTTAATGAAGATTCCAAGATTCCTAGATAGGAATCTTTTTCAACTCAATCCTCAGCACATAAATGAATATTGTTAAGGTTCCAACATAAAACCAATTGACAACATATGGAGTAGCCTAACAGGTATTAAACCATACCAAATGACATGAGACAGACGATGTGGGATTAAGTTTGTCAGACCAGACAAAAGGTACTTTTGACCTAACTCTTGGCCCAAAGACAACAACCACAAAGAAGTTAAGGTTTGGCTCTAATATCATGTTAAGGTTCCACCATTAAACCAATTAGTAATATGTGGAGTAGCCTTGTAGGTATTTAAACCATACCAAATAACATGAGGTAGGTATTTAAACCATACCAAATAACATGAGGTAGGCGATGTAGGACTTCCAACAAATATAAGTTTCAAGGATCATATTGTTAATTGCTCTCGGCGTTTAGCAAATACAAGCATAAATATTAAAATTCCTGACAATATATGAAAGCTGCAAAACAAAACCAGAAAACTCACCCTCTCCCTAAAATGTACAGCAGTTTCCTTATCATCCAGGGGATAAACAACGGGAAGATATTCTATCTGTTCAATTCAAGATAAAAGTTCAAATTTAATTCAAGAATAACAAGTTTCCAAAAGTGATGACTATTAAGAAAACCCAATCAATAAGAGAGTATACCTCAAAAAAGTTGTGAAATTGAGTGAACATCCTGAACATAAGCTTCCCCAAAGAAACATTACCCCTAACAAATTTGCATGTAGTACAATTAAGTGATATTTTATTCTCACAAACAACAGAAATGAAATGCTAGGGGTTTCACAAATAATTTCCTACCAGGATTGGTCAAAGTGCACATGAGGATAGCGTACAATCACAGGCTGGATTGGGTATCCAGGGATAAATGCACCAAGTTGGAAGGAGATAAGGTTCCTCCCATTAGTTGTTGTTCCCTCAGGAAATAATAGTACTCGAGGAAATTTATCACAAGAGGCCCTTCTCTGTTATTCAGTTCCTTGAAAGCAGATTTCTGTATCAAATAGCTTATAAAATTGATAACATGCAATTTATATGAACTAATTCATGCCCAGCATATCTGTTGTTCAGCCCTGTCAGTTTTGAATAATTCTGGCTATTCACTTCCACAATCTGAAGCTACTGTCACTTTACAACTTGTTCAACCCGCAATCAGCCCTGAGGCTCTTACGAGATTACATGGCCAACTAGACTTCTCCTAACTTAATTACAATTTCAACAATTAAAATATCACATTTTATACTAATAACATATTTACAACACCTACTAGAGGCCAACCGAAAAAAAAAAAAAAGGAAAAAGAGAGAAGTATCACTTTATTGCACATGAAAATAAACTTCTACTAGCAAGTCTTGTGCTACTCACATTAGTCATACACTTCCTAAATCATCAAATATATTTTACAAAACTTTTATAGAGATTTTTGTTAAGAAGTAGGGGTGTTAAAGAGGTAAATGAGAATAGAAAGATGATTGAGCATCAATTGGTAACCATATCAATAATCAAACAACAACAATCTCTACATATAGATCAAATAACAATAGGCATACAAATAGAAATGTTTTACCTTTATTTCCCTGATAGCCTGCTTCCTCGATGATGGTACGAATCTGTTAACATATATGACCTGAAAACATAGAAGTGGAAGAAATGGAAAATGGCTGCATTGCAAGTGTACTTGTATTTGTGAATGGTCATACATAAAATGTAACCATGAAATGAAATTACCTGCATTGCTCTTATAATTGTGCCAACAAAAGGTATGGAGTCATGAGACTCAGATGCCACAATAGTGGGAAATAATTCGTAAAAATAGAAGATAGGCTCAATGTATGATACATGATTGGATACAATTATTGGAGCAATTTCCCTTGGTGCAGGTTTTCCTTTCCGTTTTATCCACTGATAGCTGCAATGGACAGAAGGAGACAACAATACAGAGATTTTCATGTTTCAGAATCGAGATGAGCTAAGGGCATAAACAAATATAGAAAATAAAATTGAAATGAATCTTCAAGTAAAAACAATCGAATCATCATATGATTGTCTCCAATGTGATAACATAAATAGGGTATCTAGTACTACCTGAGGTTCGTAGTCTTATAATACCCAGAGGCACTGATTTTTAACTTCAGTTTTATTCTAATTTACCTTTGGTTTCTACTGTTCTATCTAATGAAATTTTTATATAATTATATACACGTGGGCACGTACATGGCAAACTCTATCCTCATATGCGCCCTTCCATAAAACATAACATCACAAGGAAACCTCCAATTCTTATTCATGAAATTATAAAGTATGTTTTGTTCCTTTTAACTTGTCCCTCCCCCCCCCCTTAAATAAAACAACTACCAAAACTATTTGCACAAAAAGCCAATTCTATCCTGCATTTCTCTGGCATATTTCCCACCGCCCAACCCAAGATAAAACCCAGAAGTTCACTAACAAACGTATCTACAGCAATAACGAGAAAATCACCCGTCCATTTCCATTAACAACCAAAACAAAGTCCCTTCCCCCATACTCACTCAGCTTAAAGCTCTGTCATTTTCCTCACCAACCCCAGTTATGATTTTCACGCCTTCCAATCATTATTACACAATTCCCATCACAACGTAACAAATTACCATGTCAGGAGCAATAATTGCATGTGCCCTTATGCCATATCAACGTACTCACTACATGTACCCTAAACCATTGTTTTACCTTGCATCTACTTCCTTCCAAAAGAAACCAACTTCCTTCCAAAACCCCTCTTAAGAAAAACAAAACACATAAATAAGTATACAAATCAGTCTGTGTTAGCTAAATAATCATTCTCCCTAAATTAAGAATACAATTTTTGGAAAATAATTATTAAAAAAAAAAATAGTTCCAACTCCCAATAAAATCACTCAATCCTAGAACAAATAAACAATATCCAAAAAAAAAAAAAAACAGTCACAGACACAAAATTGACTACGATCTAATATCAATTGAAAAAATCGTCATCAAAAGAGAAACCACAATCGAAATTAAGAATAATACCCAAACGAGAAGAGAATGCATCTGGCGCACATTCGCGTGATCCACATAACCCTACATCTCCACTTCGGCATAGGATTCTCCTTGGCCTTCCACCCTTCCAGCGCTACCTTCGTCGCCACGTACCCCACCGCGAGGCACAGCCCGAAGATCACGAGCCGCAGCGCCGCCACCGGCAGACACAGCAGCATCTTTACCCACTCGTAGAGCCCCTCAATCGCCGGCGTGCCGTTGCGGAAGGGGTCGATGGTTCCAGGAGGCGGCACAGCGAGCTCATCATCGCATCCTAGGGCGCGGAAGGGGTTGTCAGCGGCAGAGGGAGCAGCGGAGGAGTGCACGGTGAGGACGATGTGGTCGGAGGGTAGGAGCGGAGAGGTGAGGTCAGCGTCCGCCATCGGCCGGTGGAGACGAAGAGGCGTAGAACCGTAGATGTACTGGATAAATACTGTAGAGTGGGAGTGCAGCGACGACGTAGCGAAGAAGGAAAAGGGAAAGGGAAAAAGAGAGACGAAGGAAAAAAAGTGAGAAGAGTGAGAAAATGCAAATGCGAATGCTACGTGCAACATGTGGTTGTTAATAATAATATATATAATAAATTCTATCACTATTTTCACCTTCGAAAAACACATGTTAACAAATAAATATATATAATATAATATATATACATATTTCTCTTTCAAATTAAATATTCTTTCAAATTAAATATTCAATTAAATAATTTTCCAAATTTTCAATTAATAATTATTAGAATGAGATGTTACAAATAATTAGCAAAGTAATATTTGTTAACTAAATTAAATATAAGATTTAATTTTTTTATTTTAATATTTAAGAGAAGAACGCATATATAATTTTTAAAATTAAATTACTCACTGTTTCAGCGAGTGTGTGATCATGTGGCAACTTAGCATATGCTCTATGTTTATGGTCATGTGTCTCCTCGTTGCTATTATTATGATATATATATATATATATATATATATATATATATATATATATATATATATATATATATATATATATGAAAGAATTATTATTATTACTATTATTAAAATAAGGGTGTTGCAGAGGAACACGATGTGGTCACTTGTTCTATGCATCTTGTCATGGATGTGGATGACCTGTTTCGTCTCTTTCACTTGGTTTTCACATGGATTCTTGAAAAGCTTAGTGGATGAAAATGAAAAAAAAAATTATAAATTATATGAATGAATATTGTTGATGACTCGAGGATTGTAGTTTATTTGTACTATTTTGGAAAAGTAAAGTACGATGAAAATAAAATAGAAATGGATGTATTTGAAAATGCTTGATTTATAAATTCTATAAATAGTTTTTTATAGTAAAATAATTGGAAGGTTGGGTACGATGAATGTGAAATGATTATATTATTCAAGTAACATTTTTGTATTTTGTGTTATGTGTATGTAGTGAATTGATAGAGTAAAGTAAGTGTTGGAAGAATTATTTAGATGAAGCATGTGATTTGGTGTGATCTAATCGTGTTGGATATGGTTTTTTTAGGTCTGGGGTGCGATGACTCAGCCATTTTGGTCTCCATTATGACACGAAAAGAAAAATGAAATCTTGTGGTTACATAATCACTATAAAATATAATCACAACCGGACATTATCATAAAACTAAAATGCCCAAAGTTCACACACAATATTGAACCTTAAAATTAATTATATTATCATTATAAGTTGTGATTTTTTATTAATAAATTTGTGAAATTTTATTATGTTTTGAAATTGGTATAATTATAAACTTGAAATAACATAATTATATTTTTTTTAAATGTAAAAGTAAATTAACAAATAAATAATTTACCTTGTTGACTTCCATCACGAAACACTTTAGATTTGATCATAAATAGTTTCAATTATTCAACCAATCATGAACAAATATGTGCTCGAATATAAAATAAATTATGGTTATTTAAAGAACGAGAAAGAGATTAACTTATGAAGAGACTATAATATTTAAATCAGTAACACATGTATATTTTTTTCTATTAAAGTAATAAATGATCTAAAATTGGTAAAATGATGTAACTTATATATTTCTTACTAAAAAAATTTCAAGTAATAAAATATTTGTTTAAAGTTAATAATTTGTCTTATCGTGATATTAACACTAAAATGGGAGAATATTCTAATTATTGAATCTAAACAAGTATACAAGCCCCAAATTCAAAATCTGATTGTAATGAAGATGTATAAATTATAAAATTATCTAACCTTATCTAATGAGTTTATTTCTCCCAAACTTACTTATTCTGAGCTTGAAAAATCTTTTTGACTTTTATTAAGATGATGTCTCTCAAAACATTAATAAGGGGTTTTGTAATGACTTTACGTTCTTATGGAGAATTTCCTCAAAAATAGTGCTCAAATTAGATAAAAACCTTCATTTTCCCTATATTACTCATTGTATCATTTTCAATTCTTTAGTTCCTTGAGTTCTTTGAGCATCCAAATCTTTCTAGTTTTTTGTCAAGTATTTCAATCTAATCCCTTTTTTAGTTACATCTCTATTATCATGTCTTCTTCTTCTGAATCTAATGGTTCAATTGAACTTTAAAAGTTTCTAATTCCTTTGCAGAAACTAGAAGGGGTAGATTTCCTCTAATATTTGATCCTGAATATAGTTGGATACTTGGAGAAGTTGCCAATTATTCTATTTTTATTTCCTTTTCTTCGATAGAATATATTTATAAAGCTTATGTTATTTGTTCTGACTCTAATATAAAATATGTTAATGTTGGTCCCTGTAATTCTTCTAATCGAGTTTTCATGACACCTTTGAATGGTGAAGATTTTACTTTTTTTATATGAATATTTCTTCAAAGATTTAAATATTCAAATTCCTTTTACTCTCTGTTTTATGTGTTATCCTAACCAACTTCATCATAACACTTTCCTAAAAGCTTTCCAAATTTTGTGTGATGTTTTGGGCTTATATCTTATTGTAAATAAATTCTTACCAATTGAAACATGGTCAAAAGGTCAGTTGGGTATCCTTGAACGGACCTCAATATGGTGGTTTATTCACCTTTTTTCAATCGTCTTTTAAAAATTTCAAAAGCCGCTTCTTTAAAATTAGATGTGCTTAGGATGATCCCTCCTGACGTCTCATTTTATATTTCGACCATATTTCTCGTTTTCCTTTATATTAACAAACTCCCTACAAATTTAAATCTCGGGGTGAACATCTATTATCACCCGAGGACAAGGAGGATATCAAAGTCTTATCTAGTCTTCGTTGCCCTATTAGTTGTAAGGATATTTTATCTCTTTCGTTTACTGAGGACCCCAAAGTTCGATTTCTTGATAGGCTTTATTTCACTTTTTTTGGAATAATTTTCTATTGTAATTATTTCTTATTATGATCTTTTTTTTTTTTGCAAAAATCATGGGTTCTAAATTTGATTTAAGAAAACCTGAACTAAGCTTGGAGGTCGAGCTTTGGACCGAGCTCCCAATAGAATCAGGGTGGCTCCTCCCCCCATTATTGAAGTCATTAACGAGCTTGAGGTAGGGACTAATCATCCTGTTACAAATGAAGAAGATCCTACTACTACAAGTGTCACTTCACCGACTTCTCGCTTATGGCTTCCCTGAAAACCCCTTGCACATCTGCTTGCTCATATTCTTTGCAGGAGAGAATGTTCACTTAATTGGTTAGATCATGTCTTTGTGAATGATCCAAACAACAACTCCATGTGGCATCTAGACCTTATAGTCGAGGGCATGAATATGAGTGAGACTTTTCCTTACCCTTATGACGCTAGCATGTTTAGGACGATTGATATTCTAAACTACATGGACTCGGCTGAGGTAATGATGAGTAAATGTATGTTAATTATGCATTATTGGGGGAATAATGTTGCTAACATACATGAAGGGGAATCTGAAAGATGAATTTCCTAGCTTTAAAGAAACAAAGAGATAAGGTCCAAAATAGTCTTTTTGATCCTAAGCGAACTTTATCAACCAAAGCGAAAGAAAATCAAGCTTTCGTGGCTCAAGTTAATGCACTTTAACAACAAATGCAAGAGAATGAAGCTCCCATAGTTCATTTGAATGAATGACATGATCAAATCCCTCTTTCTTCAATCCAAACTACCCTTGTTGACAATGACGGATCTTGACCATTGATTTGGGGGGAGCCAAATAATATATTATTAATAAATAATAAATAAATATAAAAGGGTGAAAGAAGATGAAAGGGTAAGATGATAAAATTGTAAATGTATAAATAATATGTCATTAAGTTTGAGGGAACAAAATCATAAATATATAAGAGTTAGTAATGATTAGAGGATAAAATTGTAAAAATACAAGTAAATATATTAAAACTTCATTAAGTTTGGGGGGACCAAAATCATAAATTACGTGAGAGTTACAAAATTTTGGGGGAGCCACGACCCCCCTTCCCAAGAAGATTCGTCATTGCTTGCCGAGAGGTTGTTTGATGAAGCTAGCAAACGAGCTGAAACTGCTGAGCTCAAAATATTCCAAACTTCAAAAAGACTATGAGAAACAATTTGTGAGCAACAATTAGTTGAAATGTATGATGACGGTTTTAATAAGGCGGTGGAGCAAATTACGATCATAAGTTCAAGAATTATTGTTGATTTATTTGATTCGAAAAGTTTGTAATTATGAGTTTCACCTTCATGTGATAAACAATACCATGATTATTCTTAGTGTCTAGGAGAATGGTTCCTTCGAGGAGATCGAGATAAAAGGCAAATTTACTTTTCTATCTTCGCATTTTGTCTTTTAAAAATTTTCACTTTTTCTTTATGTTTTTGCTTCATTATATTGAACTTCTCATCATTTTTTCTTTGCATCTCCTATAAATAAATTTTCAAATAGTTGATGATGATTTCAACACTCACGGTGACATCTTTTCTTCATAAATTTTTATGTCTAATTTGTGACTTGCTAAAAAAAATTACAAGTAAATTGACAAATAAATAATTCATCCGTTTAAATTTCATCAACTTTGACTTCGAACCATTCAAACTATCTAACTTGATCATAAACAAATATTTATCGAAAGATCAATTGCAACTGTTTTTAAATGTATTTTAATCATATCGTCGTTCTAAATATAAGATTATGTGATTCTAAACAAAATAAAAATAAGAATGCTATATTTTACCTGCATTTATTCTAAAAAAATTATTATACGAGAAGATTAGAAAATATAAAATTTTCTAAATTAAAATTATAAATATGAGTGATGACCCTGTTCTCACGCAAACCCTTGATATATATACTCACCTTCACAAACTGTTAAAGTACACATAAAAAAATCTAATTACTATGTGATTTACACTTTAAACTTTCAAATGTGCTAGCTTGGTTTTAAGTTTTGATTTTTAATTTGGAACCAGTTTGGCAAAAGAAAAAAAATACTGACGGTTTTTTTTTTTTAAATTCAATTAGTTTTCTTGAAAAAATTTATTTTAATTATTATAATATTTATGAAGACTACACAAAACCAAGTAAAAGATCATTAAAATTATAAGTTAACATTTAATTTTCATCTTATTTTTATAAATTTTAATTTTTTTCTCATTCTTTTTATATTACGGTGAATTGTTTCATAAGTTTTCAAATTTCATACTTTGAAGCGAAACAACAGAATAATAAAAAAAAAAATTGAAAACAAACTACGATAATTTTAATTATATTTTTTTTTACTTTTATATGAATAATTATACATAATTTGAGCTTTTTTAGAGTTTGTCTAAAAAACTTCTAAGAGAAAAATAGAAAAAATATTAAACTATTTTTTATAATTTTTAAATATATATATATATATATATATATATAATATAAAAATACTTTTTGAAAAAAATATTTAAAAGAGTTTCTACAAATTAATCCATTACAAAAATCAATTTTAACTTTAAAAAAATTATATTTTTTTTTCATATTTTTATCTTATATAAATCTTTGATCAATAAACTCGTCTAAACATATTCCTATTATATTTTTTACTTATATTATTTTATATCATCGTTAAAAATTCTTTTCAATTTTACCCAAACACTTTTGGCTTTGATATAAATATTTAGTAGATCAATACATGTCATTTTCTAATTATTTTTAAAAATTTAGTATATTAAGTTTAAATAAAAAAGAGAGAGAATGATATATATTATTTTTAAAAAAATGAACTATTCATTTTCAAATAACCTAGAAAGAAAAATCTAAAAGATATACCTGTAACTTTTTAAATAAATATTCTAATTTAGTTTGACCTAGCCTTACGAATTAAGTAAAATAAAATTGGTGGTCCAATCTGACATTTATTTTAAAATGGACCATAATTTTTAACTTAAACTAGTGCTATTCTAGGTCAATGGGTTAACTAGTCAATTTATTTTAATTAAAAATTAAAAATATATATTAATATATTTATACCAAAATAATTAATTAAAAATATTTAAATAAAAAAATATTTTAAAAATTAAATTATATTAATGAAATTAATTTTTATTTAAAATATAATGATTAAATTATAAGAGAATATACCAATTTAATATCAAGATAAGAGTTAAAAACTTACACTTTATTATCATTATTTATTTTTTTAGTAATTTATTAATATGAAATAATAATTAATTTTAATCATTAAATATTAAAATAATAAGTGATTGTTGTATACTTATTATGATATTTACTCATAAGTGAATCTTAAATTAATTTGTAATACATATATATTTTTAAATAAAATAATATTACTTCTATTTTTATTTAAAAAATAATTATTATTTTATAAAATGGACTAAGTATATGTAGACCATGACCTAAACAAGTTGAGTCAAAATAAGTCTAATTTAATTTAGACCATAATTTTTTTTTTATCTAACCTAATCTATTTCTCGGATCTTACAGTAATGATTTCTCATGCAATTATTTCAAACAATCATTTATATATTTCAATAAATAATTTCAATTGAACATGTCTTATATTTTAGAAGAAAAAATCATTATAAAAAAGAATTTTGAATAATTAATACTTTGAGATTTGTTTAGAACAAATCTAAAACCTTATTTTAAGGAAGAATGTGTAATAAGTGATTAATTGGCTGAAAAGGATGTAATGACACTATTTTATTACATTGGAGTGGATATCAAGATTAGTTGCTTCATAATACTTTAGCAAATTGATTAAAAGCACACACTTATATTAATTTATTTTTCAAAAAGTTAATCCTAAAAGCATACAAAACTTTATTTTTCAATACAACTCGTGTTAATTTCTTAACAAAATTATGAATAATCAAATTAACATATCAAATTACATAAAATAAAAGAAAAATAAGGATTAAAATTAAAAATAATTAATTCTTTATCTGAATCTGTCATGAAAAATGTGATATTCAACATATAAAAAATATCAAAATTAAATATTTTATATAATGTAAAAACTAAAATTAAAATTAATTACTTCTATTTTTTTTTGTAAATAATACTATAATTGTACTAATTGGCAAGATCCATGAAATAAATGCCAGCTCTTAAACATTGTTGTTTTGTAAGATAATAAGAAAATCTAAGAGGGACAATACCTATTGTTTAATATCAACTTGTGACTCGTTTAGGTTAAACTTCAAGCTATGCCTAATAAAAAACAAATAATGTTTTCAATATGGTTAACTCTCTTGCATTGGAATTCAAGGAAAAAGGGGTTCTTAATGCAGATGACTCTGTTTTTAAGCAATGTCTCTACTGAGCCTGACAGTGATATATTCTTGGAGCCTCCAAAATCAAAATTATCAAACTCTTATGTGGTTCACATCATTTGTTGACTTTGAACCCGAAAGCCAAAAGAACTATGAGATTTCAGCATTAGTACCCTGATGAATAATTCATCATTGGCCTAATTGTGACCTCTCTAGAGTTTCAAAGCTAATAAAATTGTCCAAGTTAGATAAAAATTAATGAAAGGAGTCAAAGATAAACATGATGAGAAATTAGTCTTCATTAACACTGCTAACATAATAAAAGTGAGAATGTTATTAGAAGTTTATCCTGAAGAAGCAATCTTAGGCTAAGATGTGATGTTGACTGTAGCCAAGTGTGGAATCAGAAATTCTGTAATCTGGCTTGCAAGTTTCCCCTACCAAAAACCTTATTAATAATTGGAAGAAGCAAAACTAAACCTGCTTTTGCATTCTTTCTTTTCTACAATTTTGATGGTATATAAGCTTCTTCTTGGAATGGAGACCAGCTGTGCACAGTTTATCCATATGTGAATGAATTATAAGCCTAAGATGTCATTACGTTCCTACAGAAACTTCCCAACTTCTTTTCTTTGGTTGCCATTGCTGCTGATTCTGCTGAGCAATGCTTCAGCTAATGGTGTCAAACAAAAGGCAACCAATTTATTCTCCTTATTCATTCTTTATACATCACATATATAAAGAAAGAGAGCCTATATAAAGTATGAGGAATGTTTGTATGAGAAAGTGAGAGATGTAAATCTAAACTACATAACCATATGATACATGGATGATTATGATTACACGAATGAAAAGTCAAATAACTTTGTGATTTAATCCTAACCATTCATGTATGAATGTATGTCATAGATCTTCTCCTCTCACTTATACAAGCACTCCTCTAACTTTTATATATATTATTTACAAATATTTATTGTTAATATGTTAGTTTTTGTTAATAAGGACCGTATACACACTATTTGTTCTTAGTTTTCTAACATGTCAGTATCTGTTTTCTATTATCTATGAGCTTGACCACAACATTTGTGATTCATGCAGAAATTTTACATTGTTTTCCTGGGAGATCATGTTGGGAATAGAGACATAGCTCTAGACACCCATTTAAATATTCTCTCTGCTGTTAAAGGAAGGTGGCCTAATTGCATTATGATCTTTTTCTTATGCTTTACTCTTCTAGTATAATACACGTTAAAGTGACTCTGTAGCTCTTGTTTAAACTGTGTTTACTTAGCAGCCACCTTGAAGCCAAAGAATCCATTTTATACAGCTACACGAAGAGCTTTAATGCATTTGCTGCTAAATTGTCTGAGGATGAAGCTAAGAAGTTATCTGGCATGTGATCATTTTTCTCTAGTTCATTCGTATTACTTGTCAATTAGTGAATACTTTTTTTCTCATTTTTTTCATTTTTACTTTCTTGTGTGGCATGTTTAGCCATGGAAGAAGTGGTGTCGGTTATTCGAAATCAGTACCGCAAATTGCACACAACAAGATCATGGGACTTTATAGGGTTACCTTTGACTGCTAAGAGAAAACAGAAGTCAGAAAGTGACATAATTGTGGCTCTGTTGGATACAGGTTCATCATACCTTACTTTCCATTTTCATTTTCTTCATACTTCATTGATCTTGATATTTCACACACACACACACATAATGGCAATTCATGATTTAACTGACATTGTGTCTCTTCATATTTACGAGGTAGGGGTCACTCCTCAGCTTCAAAGCTTCAAGGACGATGGATTTGGTCCTCCACCTGCTAAATGGAAAGGAAGTTGTGATAAATATGCGAATTTTTCAGGCTGCAATAAGTAACATTCCTATTCTTCTGTGAATTGTGTCACTATTTTTTGAATTTGTGGACTAACTTATAACTGGCAGTACCAATATAATGTTTTAGGTAAATTTTACGTGTACTTAACTAAAAGTAATTTATTTCTAACTATTGATATAAGTGGATAGAGAAAAGAGATTGAAAAATAACTACCAAACTTAATCATTTAATAGTTGAACTAATTAATACTATTCGTTGTCAATAACTTTTCCTTAAGTTTTGAAAATTTATTTTAGTTTGGTTTCAACTTACATATACATGATTGACTGAACAAGATTGTAGCACCTTTGCAATGCACAGGTCTTTATCTAGTTGATGTATATATTTTGTCAAATGAAGTTGTACGACCAGAAATATATGTGCACCCTTGAAAATTCAATAAGGATTATTTATGAAGGAGGTCTTAATATCAATCATATACATTGATCAGCATTCTTCTAAACATAAACTTCACAAGTTTTACCATGAATTAAGCTAACATCATGCATTATTCCTTCTTCTTGGTAACTCTCCATGGGACACTTGAAGCAAGCTCATAGGAGCCAGATACTTCAAGATTGGTGGAAGGCCTGATCCATCTGACATATTATCCCCTATAGATGTGGTTGGTCATGGAACTCACACTGCATCAACAGCAGCAGGCAATCTTGTCCCAGATGCAAGTCTCTTTGGTATAGCCAAAGGCACGGCTCGTGGTGCTGTGCCATCAGCCAGGTTGGCAGTTTACAAAGTCTGCTGGGCAAGTGATAGATGTTCAGACATGGACATACTTGCAGCATTTGAAGCCGCTATACATGATGGTGTGGATGTCATATCCATTTCCATAGGTGGAGGGGATCCAAATTATGTGCAGGACTCTATAGGAATTGGATCGTTTCACGCCATGAGGAAAGGCATAATCACTGTAGCCTCAGGTGGAAATGATGGACCATTTATGGAGACTGTCTCAAATACTGCCCCATGGATTGTAACAGTGGCTGCTAGTGGCGTTGATAGGGATTTCCGAAGCACTATTCAGTTGGGGAATGGAAAGAATTTTTCTGTAAGTTCTATTAGTTTGTTACTCGCATATATTCTACATAACCAGGGGAAAAAATTTACCATACATTTAAATGAAAACAATAGTGTTCACAATTAACCAACTTTTAATTTCACATACAACCATAATTAGCCATTCAGAGTAAACATGTTGGCAGTGAAAGCAATTGTGTGAATGAAGAGGAGATTTTCAGATTATTGTTTCTGTAAGAGAACTGAGAAATTTCTGTAATTCTGATAGACTTCAGCCATGATGCATGTATGTAGCTCAGCATTTAAGGTGAGTCTACATTGTTATAAGTTGCAAGCATGTACAAGTTATTGGCACAATCTACCCCAATTATTTCTACTGTGTAGACTAGCTCGTAACTGGTCACATAGATTGAACTTGTGTCATGATATCTCACTGATTCAGTTTCTCTTCGTGTAATTCACTCCACAAGTAATCTTTTAAAATCACAAAAACACAATCTAAGGCAATAAAAATATCATAAGATAAATTAAATAAAGAATGATGGAATGAGGTCAAAACCTAACAGAAAATGCATGCAAAACAATAGTGAAACATGCTGTACAAAAGTTTACACATCAATATCCAAGATCTAATAATGTAGTTTGTACACAGACCAAATGTTTTATCATAATACTTCTTAAATAGCCACTGATGATAGATTGGTTATAAATAAAATAACATAACCACCCTTATGGTTACTAAAATTCACTCTATAATCCTACACATTCAACTGTGTGTAAAATGCAGGGGGGAGGACTGAGCACCTTCAATCCAAAGCAAAAACAGTACCCCCTTGTTAATGGGACTGATGCGGCCCGAAACACTGGAAGCAAAGAAAATGCTAGGTAATTTTCTTTTTGTTTCTTTGACTGCAGATAGTTAAGCTTTCCATATAAACAATTCAATGCATTGACAGGTTCTGCTATGAAGACTCCTTGGATCCACACAAGGTGAAAGGAAAACTTGTATACTGTAGTTTAAGTGGTTGGGGCAGTGAAGCTGTTGTGAAAGGAATTGGAGGCATTGGCAGTATAATGGAAAGTGATGACGTTTTTGAAATTGCTCAAATATTCATGGCTCCGGCTACCATTGTGAATAGTAGCATAGGTCAAATTATTACCAATTATACACAGTCCACAAGGTATGATCAGATTGTCTTGATTGCTCTCCGAATGATCTCTCAGGTCGATATTTGGTTACTTTTTTCTTTCCCCTTTAACATGCTTATCTAAATGAATATTTGTTACAATACTGTTCTACTTAATTATGTCTAGATAACTTATATTTTAATTTTTTGTTAAACTAAGGTCACCATCAGCAGTAATATATAAGACCCACGAAGTAAAGATTCCAGCTCCATTTACTGCTTCATTTTCATCTAGGGGTCCAAATCCAGCATCTAACCATATTCTCAAGGTACCTGAAGCTGCAATTATATGCTTACTAGACTTATTGTTTTATGTTTGTATATTGATCCTACAGCTACTATTTACGGAACTGAGTATGTTTTATAATCTATTTGATGCAGCCTGATGTTACAGCTCCTGGCCTTAACATCTTGGCATCTTATACACCTATGCAGTCAATTTCTGGAGAAAAAGGGGATACCCAATTTTCAGAATTTACACTTATGTCTGGAACTTCTATGTCATGCCCTCATGTTTCTGGAGTAGCAGCATATGTGAAGTCGTTTCACCCAGATTGGTCTCCTGCTGCAATCAGATCAGCCATTATTACCACAGGTGAAAGTCAAAGCCTATTTCAACTTCTGCTAATTGTTTTGTTTCATAATTTGCAAAATCTGAAGCCGTTGAGCCTCAAAGTCACATCATATCTTGTAGAGTAAATAGTGCAAAATACTTTCAGATTCTTATTCAAGATTGGTTTATTTTTATAATAATTGTCTTAAAGTCATACCAACAACAATATCTGATCGGTTAAGCTCGATGACACTGACACTAATAGAAATTAGACTCTATGTTTTAAGATGTCTTGACTTGTGATGTGACTGTCAATGTACTTCTTTGTTAAGCTAAACCTATGAGCCGGAGGGTTAACAAGGAGGCAGAATTTGCCTATGGGGCTGGTCAGGTGAACCCTACAAGAGCTGTGAACCCTGGTTTAGTCTATGACATGGATGACTTTGCATATATCCAGTTCTTATGCCATGAGGGCTATAATGGTTCCACTCTATCAGTGTTAGTTGGCTCTCGTGTGAACTGCACGTCTTTGCTCCCAGGGGTTGGCCATGATGCTATCAACTATCCCACCATGCAACTAAGGGTGAAAAACAACTCAGGCACAACAGTAGCAGTTTTCAGGAGAAGAGTCACCAATGTCGGTCCTTCTCCAACCATCTTCAATGCCACCATCAAATCTCCAAAAGGGGTGGAAATCACAGTGAAACCTACAAGCCTCATTTTCTCTCACACCCTGCAGAAGAAGAGCTTCAAGGTAGTGGTGAAAGCAAAGTCTATGGCAAGCATGAAAATTCTGTCAGGTTCCCTTATTTGGAGAAGCACAAGTTACATTGTTAGGAGCCCCATCGTTATATATAGTCCATAAGGTTGCTGTAGTGGCCATAATCAAGCTTGTAGCATTCATTGCCTGTGTGCTAAAACACATGGCTCTTCTTGTGCTCAATGTTGACATTTTAATAATGTCTAGGCAAGCATCAAATGAGAATCTTAGCTATGATCTTATAGAAGCTTCAGTTTAGGTGTTTCACTCATTCAATCAAACCTTGCAATCACAATGTTGTGAACTAGTTAATCGCATGGTGAAAGATAATGCTCTATTTAGGATAAGAACGTCTTGATAAAAAAGACAATAATTAGAATAATCTAATTGTTAGACCATAAATCATGTAAGTAAAGATATATTAGATTCGTGATAAAAGTGTATCAATTTGACTTCGTGTTTATACTTTCTAATTTGAAGTTGCATTTTTGGATCTTATTTAAATTGCTACTGTGTATACAGTACTACTGTGCATGTTTCAACTTTGAAGTCGCAGTCGTACAAGGCAGCCACAGGGGTAATAATATGAACTTTTCAACAAAAACTGCCACATTTCCGATCCACTTTTCTTATTTTAAAGTTATTTATTTTATCAACTAACCAATAAATTAAAATTCTATTTTCAATTATTCATTTTAGTTCCTATATTAAATTCTAATGAAGAATTCAAAAGAAAATATTTTTAAACGTAACTTGTAGAATTCCAACATGTGTCGGATCCACACACATGCACACTATTACCTTTTTGTTTTCTCCTTTTCCCACACCCATTTGCTAATTTCACCATTTTATATAATAACGTAACACTACAAATGCACCGAATCATTTCGCCACCATCTCCAACCACGTTTCCATGGCCTCTTCTTCACCGACCTTCCTCGCCATCCTCCTCCTTCTCCTCTTCTTCCACTTCCGCCCTTCCTCGCCGCTCCCCCTCTCCGTGGAGAGCCCCGACGAGGACGTCATAGTTTCGTGGCCGAAGGGGACGTTCACGGCGGGGTTTAGGCGCGTGGGGGAGAACGCGTACTGCTTCGGCGTGTGGTTCTCGCAGGCGGAGAAGAGCGTGGTGTGGATGGCCAACCGCGACCTTCCCGTGAACGGGAAACGCTCCTCGCTCTCCCTCCTCAAGAACGGCAACCTCGTGTTGTCTGACGCCGGCCAGATTGACGTTTGGGCCACCAACACTCTGTCGCCGGAGCCGCTGGAACTGCATTTGCACGATACAGGGAACCTCGTGCTCCGGGAACAGAGCAATAGAAGCTCCGTTTTGTGGCAGAGCTTTAATTTTCCTACTGATACACTCCTCCCCGGCCAGATTCTCACCAGGTATAAACAATTTTTTTCACATTTTTTTAACAAATTAGTTAATGAAATTATATGATGAGCTTTTGGATAATTATAGTGTTCTTACTCGTTAAAAAAAGAGTTTTTTTTTTTAATGTGTTTTCTTATAATTATTAAACTATAATTATTCTTCAAAAGTTCATGAATTATAATAGATAAAGTTGATAACCTAAGTCTTAATTAGATCAATGTAAATAATTTTAAAATGAAATGAATTGATTAGCTGAGATATTTTCAAGTCTTAAGATAGTCTATATTATGCTTAATTGATTACATTATTGTATTAACAATTAATAAATAAGAGAAATAAAAAAATTAAATTAATTCACACTCATGACTTTTTATGGTCTAATTACTGGTTACTATGGCAGGTTCACGAAGCTTGTTTCGTCGAGAAGTGCGGGCAACCATTCCTCTGGGTTTTACCAGCTCTTCTTCGACAACGACAACGTTTTCCGTCTTCTGTACGAGGGTCCTCAAGTTTCAAGCGTTTATTGGCCAGATCCTTGGCTGGTTAGCAACAACGTTGGGAGTGGTAACGGGAGATCCACGTACAATAGTAGCAAAGTTGCAGTTCTAGATGACTTTGGCAGATTCAGTGCTTCTGATCATTTCGATTTTAAGACAATTGACTATGGGCTACTCCTTCAACGAAGGTTGACCCTTGACTATGATGGCAACGTTCGTATCTATAGCAGGAAAAATGGTCAAGAAGATTGGTCTATAACAGGTCAATTTAAATCACAACCTTGCTTCATTCATGGTATTTGTGGACCTTACAGTATATGCAGTTACGAACAAGCAATTGGTAGAAAGTGTACGTGTCTTGAAGGGTTTAGTTGGATTGATAGTCAAGATTGGTCTTTAGGTTGCAAACCAAATTTCCAACCTACTTGTGATAACAAGACAGAGTATCACTTCGTACCCTTGGATGAAGTGGATTTTTATGGATATGACTATGGATCTTCCTTTTCAAATTACACATATAAACAATGTGAGAAGTTGTGCTTGGGATTGTGCGAGTGCATGGGCTTTCAGTACACCTTTGCCCCAGAAAATGGTCTCTTTTGGTGTTACCCAAAGACGCAGTTGCTAAATGGACACCGTTCACCTGGTTTCACAGGACAAATTTTCCTGCGTCGGCCAAAAAATAGTGTTCAAGAGAACCACTTGCAAAACAATGATGGCTTGGTTTGTTCGAGAAATGCAGAAAAACTACTAGAAAGACCATATGTGAAAGGCCAGAAAAATGGATCCGTTAAGTTCATGCTTTGGTTTGCAGTTGGCTTGGGAGGGTTTGAGGTCATGTGCATCTTTATGGTGTGGTGTTTCTTGTTTAGGAGTAGCAACCATTTGGTTAGTGCAGACCGACAAGGGTATGTTCTTGCAGCAGCTACAGGGTTCAGAAGGTATACGTATTCTGAACTGAAACAAGCCACAAAGGGTTTCAGGGAAGAGATTGGAAGGGGTGCTGGGGGGACAGTGTACAAGGGTGTGTTATCGGATAACCGAGTTGCAGCAATAAAAAAGCTACACGAATTTGCAGACCAAGGAGAGAGTGAGTTCCTCACTGAAGTGAGCATCATTGGAAGGCTTAACCACATGAACTTAATTGGCATGTGGGGGTATTGTGTAGAAGGAAAACACAGGATGCTGGTTTATGAGTACATGGAAAATGGCTCTTTGGCTAATAATCTTCCATCAAATTCACTTGATTGGAGCAAGAGGTATAACATTGCAGTGGGAATGGCAAAGGGTTTGGCCTATTTACATGAAGAGTGCTTGGAGTGGATCTTGCACTGTGATATCAAGCCTCAAAACATACTTCTTGACTCTGATTACCAACCCAAGGTGGCTGATTTTGGCTTGTCCAAGCCATTGAACAGAAACAACCTAAACAACTCAAGCTTCTCTAGAATAAGAGGCACAAGGGGTTACATGGCACCAGAATGGGTTTTCAACTTGCAAATCACTTCCAAGGTGGATGTTTATAGCTATGGAATTGTTGTGTTGGAGATGATAACTGGGAGGAGTCCAATGATAGGTGTCCAAGTCACAGAACTAGGGGCAGAGTCCCATAATGAGAGGTTGGCTACATGGGTGAGGGAGAAAAGGAGGAAAGCACCAGCAGGGGCATGTTGGGTGGAACAAATTGTTGACCCCACTTTGGGATCAGATTATGACATGAAGCAGATGGAGATATTGGCAACTGTGGCTTTGGAATGCGTAGAGGAAGAGAAAGATGCGAGACCTAGCATGAGTCAAGTTGTGGAGAGACTCCAAAGTCATGAACATGATTCTTAATTAATCTCTTTGGAGCCTGTCACTGTCGTATTTATCATACATAGTCTATTTCTAACCCCTTCATATTTTCATCAGTTAGAAAATGAGTGTTTATTTATCTTTGTTGAGATTATTAATGTTAAGTGGGGGTTGAGGAGTGGAAAGAGAGTGATATAATTCTTTGGATAAAGAGAACATAAAGAAAGGATTGAGAAATGAAGGAAAATATAAGATAAAATTAATCTGTTAGTTATTTAAGGAAAATAAATAAAGATTAGAGTTGTGATATAATTTAATATAAAATAATTATTTTATATTATAAATAAAATTTTATATATATTATAAAAATCATTTGTGATAATATTTAAGTTTTATTTTTTTATAATTATAATAATTTATAAATAATTTTAAAAATAATATCACATTTAAATAATATTGAGATAAAGTAAAATTATTTATTAAAAATGTATTTTTACAATTATTTAATTATTTATCATTTCAATAATTATTACAATTATTTACTTATAAATAATAGATAAATCTTAATCCTAAATATTTATTTATTTTTTATAATTATTGTCTAAAGTTTTTCTTCAATTATTTTTTATTTCAATAATTTTTATAATTAATTACCTAATTTCTATAACTAACATTAAACAAAATTTTAAAATTATTTAAATGTGTAGACTTAAAATTAACCAATTCTACAAATATTATAAACGCATACGCATAACAAATTCTATTATATAATTTTCTAAAAATTAATAGTTCAAGTTTAAGATAATATATTTACAATAAAATAATGAATTTAGTACGTGTTTGATGTATACAATATTACCATAACACAATAAAAGAATATAACATGAGGTAAGATAAACACGTATAATCTAAGCGTGATACATATAATCAATTATTACACATCTAATAATGGAGATGTGGATGATTCAGTGCATGGTTACATTGAAATAATAATAATAATAGTAATAATAATAAAAAAAAGAATAAAGTCACAAATTGCAGAAGTTGTTGCAAATTCTGAAATGTGTGGCCGCGGAAATTTTCATAGCAGCCATCACAGTGTGGAAGAAAAAACAAGTGGAGGTTGCGAACAAGTTTCATCAAATAACAATTATTTTATCTAAAAGAGAGAAAGTAAGGAGTAGTTTTTCTAAAGAACAAATAACTTTCTCTCAATTGTGCTTTGGATAGACGATGATGACTTAGTCTAAAGAAATGATATTCAATTATTTTGTCCAAATTTTGTTGGTGTGAAAAGTTATCGATCTAAACACCACCTGATAAAAGTAATATAGGAGCTTTACGAAAATTATTTTGTGAGGAAGAGGAACATTCTAACAAGTATCATAATTTCATAAAAGAGAAAAAGCAAATAATATCTTCAGTAACAAGTTTTTTTTTTTTAAAATGATTATTAAACCTTATTCACTAAAGATACATATTGAAATTATTATTATTATTATTATCTTAATTTTAATTAACATCGATACTAAAGATAGTTAGACTTTAAATGCTAAAATTCTAATTTTAATTAAAATTAATACTAAAGAGGTT